ATTTCTACTTTCTACCATCAAAATTGGAATAATTTTGACCATCAAAATCACCAAACCAATTTGGGCTGCATGTATACATATGATCAAATTAAAATTTTGAATAATGAAAAGAAAATTTAACTGCAGAAAATAATAATCTCAAAAATCAATTGGCTACCCAATTTAGTACTCAAGAGAAAAGAATCAATGCTATTATAGATATTGCTTTAGCAGAAAGAAATAATATTTATCAAGATATTCAAAAATCAGGAACGTTTTACTTTGTCAAATCTTTTAACCCATTCTCCTACAAAATGGCTTGAAGAACAGAATCCTGTTGTAGTTAAATTTATTGAAATACTTCCAAATAATGAATATAATGATCAAAGTGAACAAATGCAAGAAGAAAATTTTTTAAACATGCTGTAGCACTGGAGGCAATTTATGGCTCAAGAAATTGTAAGTATGTTTCTGCAATAAATCTTGCCACATCTGCTATCAAATATTCACTGACAAGGTCAAAAATGATAGTAGATATAGATAATCACATAGTGAGTTCTGGTAGCTATTCAAAATTTGTTAATTGGTTGGAGAGCTTAGTAATTGAACCTGAACCTTTGCCAGATGGATTTTTAATTTTAGCTTTTGACAATGAACAAAGAGGTCAAAAAAATTATTTGGGATTGTGGCAACAACTCAGTCATTTTTCATGTGGTTACTAGCTTCATTGCTTTTAATTTCAATCCACATGATAATAGCCAGTTAACAACAAATCCTTGGAAAAATGATTCACTTACTTCAGATGAAATTGAACAATTATTAGACATAGATGATGATATGCAAAGAGAATTTGAGTTAGAGCTTCATAATTTTATTGGTGACATAATAAGTAATTTGTGTAATGAAAAAAATAAGGAATAAATCAATTGGATCATCTTGTTGTTGATAATCAAAATAATCTTCCTAACAAAATGAAAATATGTCTCAATTGTTCTGAAAAAAATATAGATAATAAAAAAAGAAATTGTCCAAATTGCAATGAGAAACTACCACCCCTTGATTCATTAAATTTAAACCAAATTTCTCAACAACCACCTGAGAGTGCATCTTTAAATAAAAAAATGGTTTTCAGATATCACCCAATAAAAAAATCTGAACATGGTGCTCAAAAATCTAAACTTAGCATAACACAAAAACTTATACCAGACAAAGGAGTAGAAGTTCCAGACATTTACATTCCAGATCCAATACCTGTAAATCCAAATTCATTAAAAAATGTTGAAATTGTATTAAAACATATAGAAAACATTACAGGAATCAAATCAGGGAGATGTAAATGGGTACCTGTTGTATGTGATGGTGTGCCTTATAATCTTGCACTGAAATTGAGAAATGATTTCCCTTGGCTAATTTTACTTCCTGGAGCTCTACACAAAGAAATGAATGCTTAAAGCATTTGTAGAATTAAATGGGTAAAAATTTTTAAATTTTAGATTGCATTATTATTTGAAAAAAAAGAAAACAAACTAATTACCTATATTATATATAAAGGGAAATAGATATTAAATCATTTGCCAAATTTCAAGGTTACAACAAATCAGAAAAACAATTAGATTTTTTCAGAAAATGCATTGATTTTCATAAATCTTGGGACTCTATATGTAACATTTATTGTCATTCAACAGCTTCTGAGCTGGTCTGGCTTTACATTAAAAATGAAGAAAATCCAACTGTTGATGGTTATCTTGAATGGTCCAGAACTCAAACAAATGAAATCTATAAACTTAAATTTGAGCAAATTAAGTTTTAATTATATTTTTCAATGAATTAATCAATCTAATAAAAAAATTAGTAAATAATGCTGATTGTATTTATTTACATTAGACTTTTATTTACCTGAAAGCAATTATAAACTTTTGCATTGGTGTAAGAACAAACAATCCCTTGCTACAAAATGCAGCTAGATGTCAATTTGCACCAGTATGGTCTGCTTATAGACATCCAACTATAAATTATTGGAAGTATCACATGAAGCACTTTTGTCATGTTTAAAACCTTCAGTTAGAAAAACATTGAAAAGGCATCAGTAGTTTCTAGGTCTGGACTTTGAAATCAACATCAAGGCCTTGATGCAATATTAGAAGAATTCAATAAATCATTAAAATCTATGATTCCTCCAGTACCTTCTCAACATCATTGGGAAATTGCAGCAAGAAATTGCAAAAATTTCATGAAGGTAAGTATAGTTTACTTTCTCTATAATAGATCTTTCTATAATAAATCTTGCTCTATAATGGACTGAGAATTTAAGCCCAATTTATATGTCCCACATTAACATATAATCTATGATTCCAAATGGTCCATTATAGAGTAAACTGTAATTTAAACCAAATTAATTCTAATAGTTCAATAGCTATGTACCAATCTTTTTAATATGATTGGATTTAAGGAAAGACAAAGTTTGGGAACATGAAAAATACCTGATTTTAGTGCTGAATCGCAATGTTTTAGAGTAGAACTGAAAAGAACCAGTTTTTCACAAGAAGCCATTTTAGGAATTTGAAAGATGATGTTATTTTGAGTGAAAAAATGAAAAATTTTAGTCATCTTGCAAAAGAAAAAAGGAATATATTGTTGAAAGAAATCTTATTGCAATGAGCTTCTACTAATACCTGGAATCCCTTCCTGAAACATTATGACCAAAATATAGTAGTTTGAATAATAAAACAAAGGGAAACTTATTAATAATTTTGCAAGAATTAAGAAATATATATGATACTGTTGAAACATTTGATTATTAATAATAATAAAATAAAATTGCTGATCAAAAAGAATTTTCTGTAATTTTTTCTATTCTGTAGATCCCTACTTTTAAGGAAATTCCATTTCGGGGAATAATCCTGACTGAAGTATTTCATTACTTCTTTGTATAATTCTGGTTAATTTATTGTCACAAGTATACATGCAGCCCAAATTGATTTGGTGATTTTGATGGTAGAAAATAGAAATTAATTATGGCATTCACTATTAAAAACATAAGTGTAACGCCCCTTTACTACATGTGTAACCCCCTTTATGACAGTGTCAAAATACTTTGGGCTGCATGTATAGTCACAAGCATATAAACAGAATCCATATTTTTGTGAATTATTTAAAGATAATTTGTTTTTTGAAGACATTTGAGTAATGGGATTCAATAAATACTTGAAAGTTAATAAGGATGATAATAAATAGAGAGTAATGGATAAATGTACAAAAACAAGTAATATTATTACAATTATCAGT